CTGTTGCTGTTGATCTCCTCTTTAATCCACAGTGGTCAGATAGGATGCAGTATATCATTCCAATTTTATTTCATCTTTTGAGATTTTCTTGGTGCCATGAGAAAATGGCATGAGAAAGTGCCATGAAAGTTCCATGAGGTGATGAAGAAAGTATGTTCTTTTGTGTTTGGGTGGAATATCCTGTAGATAACTGTTTCATGTATTTGGTTTATAACATCTGTTAACTCCAGCACTTCTCTGTTTAGTTTTTTGCTGGATGACTTGTCACTGACAAGGGTAGGGTACTAAAGTCTCCCACTAACCATATGTGAGGGTCAATACATGACTTAAGCTGTAGTAGTATTTCTTTTACAAATTTAGGTGCACTTGTGTTTGGGACATAGATGTTAAAATTGAAATGTTCTCTTGGATTTTTTTCTTTCTAATAAGTATGTAGTATCCTTCTCCATATCTTTTGTTTAGTTTTGGTTTGTGAGATATTAAAGCAACTATATGAGCTTGCTTCTTAGCTCCATTTGCTAAGACTATCTTCTCCATTCTCTTATTATGGGGTAATGTCTTAATGTTAAGGTGTGTTTTTTTATGCAGCAGAAGAATGCATCTTCTTTTTTCTTTTTTTTTTACATTCATCCTGTTAGTCTGTGCCTTTTTATTGGGTAATTGAGACCACTGATATTGAGTGATATTAATTTTTATTGGGTAATTGAGACCACCGATATTGAGTGATATTAATTTTTATTGGGTAATTGAGACCACCGATATTGAGTGATATTAATTTTTATTGGGTAATTGAGACCACCGATATTGAGTGATATTAATGAGCATTGTTTGTTAATTCCTGTTATTGTTTTCGGGGGTGTTTTTGTGTGTCCCTTTTGATTTATGGGTCTGAGATTATTTATTCAGTGGGTTTTCTTTAATAACTTTATTTATTTCTTCTTTAAGAACCCCTATCACATTTATAAAGACTATTTTAACATCTTTTTTATTTCCTTCAGTGATGCTGGGATACTCAGGATCTACTGTGGTGGGTTGCTGATCTCTAGTGAATACATTGTACTGGGTGATATTAAATGTGTTTACTCGGGCATTTAGGATTTTGAAGATGTGATTCTAGGTGCTAAAATCTGGTGCTTGTATTTGTTAGATGGGTGTTTTGGCCCTCGGTTTCTGTTGACATCTCTGGTAGAGTGGGGAGTTCCAGGTAAAAGATGTGTTTTTGGGTATTAGGGGCTAACACTTAGGAATGGATTCCAGGTGGGGGCGGTTGTTGAAGGGGATCAGTTGGAGAGAGAAAAGCATCAGGATCTGCTTAGTTCCCTGGGAATGGGGACAGATAGTGGAAAGACCACAGCAGAAGGTTTATTACACTGTTGGGATGAGATTGCTAACTGAACATGGAGAAATGGAGGAAGACATGACTCTGCAGTCAGCCTGCCTGCTTCCCAGTCCAGAATGTCCTGTGTGTTTCCAGGGATTGCCTGTCTGAGTTAGAGGATAGTGTAAAGCAATGGGTGGGGGGAAGGGTGGTTAAAAGGGGAAGATTTGTGTGATCCAATGAAGGTAGGGCATTGTTGGGGAGCTCAGCAAGTGTTCCACTTCAGAATTGGGGATGAGGCTGGGGATTGGATTGGAAGAAACAAGGGGAGAAATGAAATCTGAAGTTAACCTGCATGCTTCTCTGGCCATCAAAAATCAATTATTTTTATTTTCCTCTTAATACTTATCTAGCTGCTAGAAATAGCTTTGCAAGGAGAGAATGACCAAACAGGAGTTTTCATTCCTCACTTCAACTTTTCTTTCTGCACTTCCCTGCAAACAATATCTTTACCTCTGTTACCTGAGTTCTTTATTCTGCAACCGTGCCCCTTGGGCCTTGTTTTGCCCTAGGCTTTGTCTTGTGCCTGCAGTTTTTCAGGAAGGAGGATACATCTAGTTCAGGGCTTCTGCTTGAGAAAGGAACTACAGACCTTCTGTGTCCTAGCATGTTGATGGTTTTGTGGGGTGATCTTTGGCTGTTGGAGAGAATATTGTCAGCTCAGATGAGAACATTTCATTTAAACCATATATGTACATTTCTGCACAGACTTACATTATTGTGTCGCTTTTTAGGTAAATAGTTAATAATATGGTTCCTTGCAACTTTTCAGACATCTTTACTGTTATTTTTACCACATTGCCTTCCTCTTTTTTGTTTACCTCCCTCCCCCTAATTAAAGCTCTGATTTTCCCATTTCTAAGACCACATTACTTGTACTCTGTTATCTCCCTCTCTGTTGCCTTCCTATCCTCTTATCTTGCCATATTTCCTTTTTATCTTCCTGTTTTCTAAATTTGCTCCAGGACCAAAATAAATTCTATTAAAAAAGTTTAATAAAAAGATTACCTTATAGTCACACCTGCCCCCCCCCTTCTCTCTGCCTCTCTCTCTCTTTGCCTTTTGGTGCAAAAAAACAAAGTTGGAATGAGGGTTGCTTTCACCATGTGCAGAAAATTTCATGGACACTAACAGAGATGGAAACAAGTGTAGACATGAGGTGCACAGTGGCAATTTACATACTAGGGCAACTGGTCTATGAAGCTGTCTGAATGAGGAACCATAGCAGCAAGCCTCATTAAGAAAGAATAAAAACTGGTGTGGAAGTGTCAGCCTCTCTCTGTCTTGATAGCTGCTGTGCCTATAGTTCTTCATCTTTTTTTCAATAGAAAAGAATGAAACTCTTGTCTTATTTTTTGGAATTTCTTCTGAGCATGCCAAAAATACAGTGAGAAAGTAGAGAGGGATTGAAACTGGCTCGTTGATGAACTGTCAAATGGAGTCTCAAAGGAGAGGCAAAAAGATTAAAATTTAAGGATGGAGATTAAATACTTCATTTTCATTTGGATTTCTCTATACTTTTCAGAAGGAAATGAATATTTGTGAGGCCTGTATTTTAGTAGTGAAGTATGCCCCAGCCCCTGTGCTCAGTCTCCATCACAGTCTATGGCACACACACCTCTGATTTTTCTAAGTCAGGAAGACTTAGAGAAACAAATGCTCACCTCCCAGCCTTTGCAAATGTTAGATTTATAAGGTTAACAGGTCACTCGCTTCTGAGGCTTGTATCAGAACTGGCTTTTAAACATGAAAGAACTTTTAAGTATAACACTTATCCGTAAGTTATAAGATTCTGAAACTAGTCTTCAGGGGAAAATGAGATGTTCTTTGAGATGTGGCTGTATTGTAATAGACAATAAGGTGCCCTTTGTGTAGGTGCCATGAGAGAGATGCTTGCAGAAGGTCATATGGAGTGCTCACGTGGGGCCAAGTTTAGCTTGTAAAACTACACTAACAGTGAAGAAACATAAGTGAGAAAAAAATCAATGTAGATTTTTGTATGTTAATTTTTTTCTTTACATTTATATGCGTGCCCACCATGTGTGGATGTGTGTGTTTGTGTGTGTCTGTGCAGTGTGTGTGTACTATGTGGGTATATGTATGTGTGTGTATCTGTGTCTGTCTATGAGGTGTATGTATGTGTGTGTTTGTGTGCATGTCTGTGCAGTGTGTGTGTGAATTGCAGTATGTATATGTGTGTATCTGTGTCTGTCTATGCGGTGTGTGTGTATGGTGTGTGTGTGTGTGTGTGTGTTTGTGTGCATGTCTGTGCAGTGTGTGTGTGACTTGCAGTACATATGTGTGTGTATCTGTGTCTGTCTATGCGGTGTATATGTATGTATGTGTGTGTTTGTGTGCATGTCTGTGCAGTGTGTGTGTGAATTGCAGTATGTATATGTGTGTATCTGTGTCTGTCTATGCGGTGTGTGTGTATGGTGTGTGTGTGTGTGTGTGTTTGTGTGCATGTCTGTGCAGTGTGTGTGTGACTTGCAGTACATATGTGTGTGTATCTGTGTCTGTCTATGCGGTGTATATGTGTGTATGTGTGTGTTTGTGTGCATGTCTGTGCAGTGTGTGTGTGACTTGCAGTACATATGTGTGTGTATCTGTGTCTGTCTATGCGGTGTGTGTGTATGGTGTGTGTGTATGTGTGTGTTTGCGTGCATGTCTGTGCAGTGTGTGTGCGTCTTGCAGTATGTATGTGTGTGTGCATTGTGTGTGTGTGTGTGTACAGTATGTGTGTGTTTGTGTGTTCTGTGTGTATGTGTAGGGTGTGTGTGTTGTGCCCAGATTACGACCCACAGAGAGGCCCAGACTGTAATAAGCAAGGTTTATTTAGCATAATATGAACTAGTTCAGAACCCCTGTCTCCAACACCCTGTTGTAGCAAGGTAGAGAGTGGAGAAGTGTTTCCTTTGCAGAGTTAGTCTTTTAAAGGTGTAACTACAAAGAGGCCTTTTGAAGCTGCTTTGTCATGGGTCTTTTGCTCTGTCTCATCTTACTGTGTCACTTAATTCTTTGTTCTTAGAGCAAGGCCATCTTTATCAGACTATACCAGGTGGCGAGGCATAATTTCTCAGGTAGGAGGGGGGAAGGCCACTATCTTCTTCGGAAAATATTCTGCTAGGAAATTTCTTCTCACCCCTTTGAGAATAAGTGGTGAGGGTCTTACAGTGTGTGTGTATAAATATGTGTGTGTGTTTGTGCCTATGTGTCTGTGTGTGTATGTATATGGTGTGTGTGTGTGTACGGTGTGTGTGTGTGTGTATGTATGTGTGTTTGTCTGCATGTGTCATGGCATACCTGTGGCAATCATAAGATCACTTTTGGGAGTCCATTCTCTCCTTCTATCATGTAGGTCCTTGGGATCAATCTCAGGTCATCTTGGTGGCAAGGACCTTTACCTATAGAGTCATTCCATTACCCAAAGATTTTTGTTTTGAGTAAATATCTTAATAATAATTAATAATTTTAGCTGAAAATGGTTTTAGAATGAGTAATAAAGTCTTTAGATAATATGTAACTTTAATCTGTGAGACAAACAGAGTGATATGGCTGAATTAAATGAGGAAGTTCTTAATAACTTACCACCTTTTGTGTAAAATTCTCTTTCCTTCCTCAGAATAAAAGCTTGAAGAACAAATTGTTGTCTGGAAGCAAGCTGTGTGGGATGCATGCAGAAGAGGTGAGTAAATATGACCTTTAACAAGGGCACCTGGTTAAAATTATTATTGAATTAAATCTTGTGTAATCTAAAGAACTAATGGTTTTTCCCCTAACACAAATGAAATACTGGATGCAAAATAAAATACATTTTAGTTTTAGTTTTGTATGTATCTAGTTATTCCAACATTACACAAATGAAAAAATAAAAATGTACCCAATGCCATGTTCATAAAATGAATTTCTAAGACCTGTCTCATTGTATGAACCAATTCTTCCCAGTAGGAAATTATCAGATGTTCACTGTATTTTTCTTAAGCTTTGTGACATTTATATGCCACCAGGCAAGTCCCTGGGATTATATTAGTTTACCAGGTAAACCGACCTGCTTGTTCTATTTTCTGTGCAACTAAATTTTCTCATATATTACTCATAGATTTCTCATAAAATATTATATATTAATAATTAAGTAACAGTGAAGTTTATAAGTAAGTGAAGTTTAAAGAGAAGAGACACGAGCCCCTATATCCCAGGGATACTTAGATAGCATACATGAAGAAAAGTCACCCACTGAAAATCACATAAATTATAAGGAATAGACAAAGAAGCATTTCCATTTCAGGAAGACCTGATGTCTATGAAAAATGGGATGGAATGAAGCTTAAGAGGAGAACAATGACTTTACAGTTTGAAAGTTGAGTCCTCCCCAAGGGGTCCGGAAGGGAGACTGAGAGCTGCACAAACAGGTCCATCATTGCCTAACTATGAAAACACTTCACATCCCTTATGTTACAAATGCCTTTCCCACCACCTTTCTATAGGTGGAAAAAGGGAGTTAGGAAAAACACAATTTCCCTTACTCTCCTGCTTGTAAGAACAAGGTCACATGTTTAGGCAAGATGAGAGCTCAAAATATATTCTAAGACAAAGCCATTATCAAGAACTCTATACCTCAAGCTTGCATGTGATATGATCATTTGGAGACTAAGTTTCATATATATAAATATATATAATAGATATATTACTTCAATATATATATTTGAATGAAATATGCTGTGATTTAGCATATATATACATACGGATGATATATGTATATATCCATCCATATGTGTGTGTATATATACATGCATACATATATACATAAATACATACACAATGGATGGAAAGCTTTAAGACATAGAAAGTAAGTGTTGATTCTCTATAAAAAGGAAAATAGAACTGGTTCTTTTGTAGATCTGACACAAAGAAGGGCTTCATTTCATCGCATTTTGCTCAGTTTGGACAGAAATCAGCATAACCTTGTCCATATTATTGAGATTGTTGAAACAGGATAAATGAGCATTGGGATAGTTTTGAATACTGTGAAATAGAGTGGTGTTTTGAATACCAGCACCTGGACTATAGGGCAGGAAGATCAAGAGTTCAAGGTCACTCTCGCCTACAACACTGATTCTTTGAGGGAGAACTGAGACACTTAAGAGTCTATCTCAAGAACCAACAACAGAGAAGGGGAAATATCTGTATAACAGTTACATTGAACATGTTATCAGATCCCCACAAAACTCAAGTACAGGAGAGAAAGGGCACTAAAAGTATGACTGGTGTTTAGATAATTAAAGAGTTCCTCCATTTATAGTTTATCCTCTTCATTCAAGAATGTTCCTAATTTCCCTCAGCTCAGTGAAAATTAAATCCCATTTGTTCATAGCTGTGTTCTTTATGTTATTTCCTTAATGGTTAAAATGCAGTTAAGTTCATATAATTTATTCATTTTGCCATATCTTGTGAAATATTTATAGAATAATATCAAAGTTCAGTATTCTGGATTAAAAAGGTAATGTTTATACTGTCAAAATAGTATTTTAGAATAATATGCACAAAATTTTATTATTTGATTCATCATTATTTCTTAAAACAAAATAGCAATCTTTTGTGCTGGAGACTAGCTGAAAACAGCTCATCATCTTGGCCCCGGGCTCTCGGCTCTGTACCCACACAGGAACAAAACACACTGTGATTTGGCATAGAAGACCATGTAATGTTGCTTTTCCTGGGGAGACATGAACAAATATGTATTCACTGCACATAGGGAACTAGAAGAAGAATGAATAGAGGCAGCTGCATCTCCGGAATCCTCACCACAGCATGGGCAATAGCTCATGAAAGCTGCATCTATCTCTCTGGCTTTGCTGCACGACAAAAGACAACTTAGCGAGTTAGAGATTCCCCACTACCCCGAAATCACCACTGTTTCTATGACCTTGCTCGACACTGCCAGGAGTCTTCTAAGTTCCTGGGCATAGTGAACGATAATTAGCTTCCCGAGTCTTCAGAGCCTGCCTCCTCCCAGAGCTAATGTTTCAATCCAGAGAAAACAGTTATACTACAAACATTAAAAACTGCAAACCCAACACCATCTGCCATAGCTACCATTATTTTTTCATAAAGGGAAAGTTATTTGAATATAAATGTGTAGGAAAGAATCTCAGATTAGACAATTATCTCCTAAATGAGACTGAGGAGCTAAAATGTTCTGTCATGGCTGCCTACATCCCCCTCATTGTTTCTCCTAGCTACCATTGTCATTATCTCAGCTTTAATTAGTTCATGCACATGCAGACACTCCATGACCTTCATGATCTTCATGACCTGATATTTGGAATTGCACTTACAATTAGCAATATAGTAAAAATAAAATCACTGAGATTACAAATGCTCTATCATTTTTAGAGGCTTATCCCTTTTGATAGTTTTAATTTATCAAAATATTGCTGACAAGCTAAGACAGCATGTTATATGTTTTCAAATTAGCACACATTTCACAATAGATATATTACTTCAGATGTATTGTTTCTTAAAAATCTTTGTAAAAACCTAAGAAAGGATTTTGCTGATAATTAGTCTGGACTGTGAAATATAGATGACATGGGAGTAGAAAGAATTCATATCTTCATGATAACAAAGGCCAAGAAATCTATTATGAATCTACCATGATGTGTTCACTACACACATATACACTACATACACACACCACAATAAAAAATATGAAATAAAATCTCAATTTAATTCTAATTTTATATACTAAAAACACTACCTATTGTTGCTTTAAATATTTGTTGTTATAATGAAAAGTTTAGATCCTAAGGCACACCGTCTATGCAAATAGATTATAAGCAGATATCAGAAATAGTTGACATTAGTCCTTGACCTCTCCTGAGAAACTCCAGCACTAATTATCAGGACTGGAGATGGCACTGGATGGGTCACATGAATGCTTACTATGAGCTGCAGTGATCAGCAGCTTCCCCCACAAACTTGTCAACTCTATTGAGAGAAAGACTTTCCCTGGGAGACTCTTTGGCTTTGTTAAGTGTCCTGAAGACCAGGTGGAACAGGACTGTTTAGTAAAGTGAGTGGCCTAAGTGATGATAGCCATGTAAATCAGAATTGCCATACAGATAAACTTAGTGTGAGACAAGGCTCTGAATTGGTTATCATTAGTGTGGAAAATTGGGAGAGTTTGTAGTCAAATAGTTACAGGAAGCATTAATTCCAGCAAAAAAGTAAGTACCAGAGGTTGCCATGTTCTCACTAGTAAGCTTCAGTCTTCTGATCATGAGCTTAGGACATTTAGCTGCCCCTATTAGAAAAACAGAATAACTTTGGGTTAGGCACAGGATGCTTTGAAAATAAAAACAAAACAAGAAAATCAAATATTTGGCTTTGTTGCCAAATCCTTTTTTAAAGAAATGTTTTAATTAAAATATAATTATATCATTACCCCCCTCTCCTGTCTTTTATTCTTCCCATAATCCTAATCCATGCTTTGTCTCAAATTCACAGCCTATTTTTATCCTTACTGTTACATATGCACATCAAATATATAAATACAATCCATTGGGTCTGTTTAGTGTTTCCTGAGTGTATATGTTTCTAAGGCTGACCAGTTGGTATCTGGGGGTTCATCCCTGAGGAACACTAATTCTCCTCTCCATCCTAGAATCTGGTCTGGCTTGTTATTGAAAGGCTTGGTGGGTGCTATCACATTGCTATGAGTTCATAAGTAGACCTGTCCTGGACTCCTTCAGGAATTCTCATGTAATTTCAGATCATACGGCATGCTTTTCTTCACATTATCCTACTTTAAATATGGGCTTAAAAAAGGAGCACCTACTATTCATTATGTTTTGTATCTTTGCTTTACCATGTGTATATGTGCACATATATGTATGTATATGTCCATGTGAATATTTCTCCCCAGTGAAGTAAGAGGATCTATTATTTCAAAGGTGGAACACAGTGAGCTGAGGTAATCCCATTACAGTACTGAGAACCGTGTCTTTTTTTAGAAGGTTCAGAATACACAGTCTCCTCTTCCAAATTACAGATAAATTATGAGGATGCAGGTAAAGGCATGTAGCAGTTTGTCACTGGGAACAACTGAGTTTGTTAAACGTTTTTATATTTATAAGTATCCTGGTATAAAGTGTGGTCTTCTGTATCCCTGTTTACCCTTGACTGTAGTAATAGGAGCGGCGGGGCTGTGTCCCCAGCTCCCTGGCACCTGGCTAGCTTATGCTCCAAAATAACAACACACAAACTGTATTCTTTTAAACACTGCTTGGCCCATTTCTATCTAGCCTCTTCTAGGATAATTCTCACATATTAATTTAGCCCATTTCTAATCATCTGTGTAGCACAGCTACGTGCACTTACCGGGAAGATTCTAGCCTACGTCCATTATGGGTCAGAGCTTCATCGCATGTGCTTCAGAGAGCAGAGCTATCACGTCTACCCGGGAGAGGGGAGCATGGCGTCTCTGCTCCAGAGAGCAGAGCTGTTGAGTCTGAGCTCACTTCCTCTTCCTCCCAGCATTCTGTTCTGTTTACTCCACCCAACTATGTTTTAACCTATGAGGGCCAAGCAGTTTCTTTATTGCTTAACCAATGAAATCAACAGATTGATATATGACACTCCCACATCACTTGACTAATGGAATTTTGCTGGCATTTTATCTGTTTGTTTGCTAGTATCTGTTGAAAATACAGTAGATTAAATCTTTCCATGAAATTATACTTACCTATCACATATCTTAAAAAGCAATTCAGTAAAAACAAAGATAACAGCATTCATACACATGCCTTTGTGTTGTAGAAGGTCTCATGTTTGTTTCCTGGCTGCCCTGACTCCAGAAATAATCACACAGAAATAATGTTAGTTGCAATACTTTTGGCCTATAGCTTAAGCGTATCTCTGGCTAACTCATATTTTAAATTAACCCATCTCCAATAATCTGTGTATCACCATGAGGCTTACCCAGCAAGGTTTTGTCCGTCTGCCTCCAGCTGGGCTACATGGCTTCTCTCTGACTTTCTCCAAACATTCACCTTAATTTTTCTCTGCTTAGCCCTACTCTATTCTATCAGACCAAGCCAGTTTCTTTATTAACCAATGGTTTTCACAGCATACAGAGGGGAATCCCACATTACCTTTGCCACTTAAAATTAGAATTTTTTATCATGCCTCATTAAAGGTATTTTGTATGTTTGTGTGTAGAGTAGAAGACAGAAAGTTATTAAATAACACCTTTGTAAACATATGATTTTTAAAAAAAAAAACAGACTGAAATCTTGCTTCCTGACTCAGATGTCTACGTGTGTAATGTCAAAGCTAAATTTAGTCTTCTCTGTTGATTATCCAAATTATAGGCTATTGCTTGACTAAGCTAAAGCATTTACTCCTGTGCAGTTTGGAAAAATTTAAATCTTCAAGATTGAAAATAAAAGTTAGCATAAGCACTAATGCATATCTCTGCTTTTGCAGTCAAAAAAAATCCAAGCCCAACTGAAGGAGCTCCGTTATGGGAAGAAAGATTTGTTATTTAAGGTAAGCATCTTGTCCACTTTTTCTCCCAAATGCCTGCCAAACATCTAACATTCTCAAAATAGTACTTTGACTCATTGAAATTTCTGGACATTCTAATGAAGAATTACTCTTGGCTGAGTCGGGGTTCCCTCCATTTTCCTACCTCTTAATGAAAGCGTATAAGTAAATCACTAGGTCCTTTTATTGCCCAAGGCAGATTTGGTTCTAATGTATTTAAAGCTCCTATAACTCTCCCTATGGTTTAACAGGGTTGCCTTTGATATATGTCCAGAGACTAGAGGATATATTGAGGAAGTTTTTGCACATAGAATTGACTGGTTACCTTGCAGTCTTCACAGAAGTTTACTGACATTCAGTTGTGGGTCAGTCTGATCAAAACCTGAACTTCAGAATTCTGCACCCACTGAGAACATGAAGAGAGGAATCCTTAGAAATTCACGCTTCTGAATTTCTGGACTTTAGGAGCATTATCTTCTGTCACAGGAGGCTTTGCAGATATGACTAAATTACAGACCTTTAAAGGGAAAGATTAGGTTTATTAGTTCTGAATGAAATATTTGAATCTTTTTAACAATGATGCAAGAAAATCAAGAGAGGAATGTATGTGGTCATAGAAATTACAGAATAAAGCATCCTTGATTTAACCCTGTACACAAACTTTTTTTATCCCACCAGTCCACTCACAAATAACCACATGGGGACTTCTTATTAATTATAAAATCTCAGACAATACATTAGAATTGCTCCTAATGAGCTCTTACAACTTATATTAACCCGTTTTTACCAATCTATGTGCTGCCCCTGACTCCTGTCACTTACCTGTCCTCTTTAATTCCTTGTTCCCTCTCCATCTGGCTAATGTCTCTGCCCTTCTTCATACCAATGAGCTCTCTTCCTGTCCAAAAGTGCCACCTAACCTCTTCCTGCCTAGCTATTGGCATTTAGTTCTTTATTAAATCAATGAGAGCAATGCATCGTCACAATGTGCAGAAAGATTGTTCCACAACATAATATCATGGAATTCATTTCAGATTTGCCATCTTGAAAACTATAGAACATTTTGTGTTGTGTAACTAAGTTCATGAGAATTCCTTATAGCCTGTTCATTCTCACACAGGAACAGAAAGTAAAGACCCTTATCTTGTATTCTTTTCCAACCTGCCTTTTCTCATGGAGTACTGGAATAATTACTTAGGCTTTCCTAACTATACTAATATTCAGAAAAATAAGATTAAATTATATGTAATATTTACTTTTCAACACATTTCCACTGTAATGATCACCATAAGTGAAAAATTGGTTTACTTTTAAGATATAAATCTTTTAGTAAAATGTGGGAGTAAAGTGATTTCTACTGGAAACAGTGAGAGATGACAGAGTATTGTGCTCTACTTGCTTTTGGCTTTAGAATCAGAGGAAATGTTCTGATTTTGCTAACAGGTATTTGCACATAGCATGTGATTCTGGCACATCTTGAAAAATGCTCTTCCTGCCGTTGCTTTGATGCCCTTTAACCCACAGTCTCCAAAGCCCTAAGAAAGCTTATGGAATTGTCTGACATGAAGGCCCAAATATCTGAGGAAAATTGTTATTGTTTAAGAGTAATTTCAGTAAAGAATAAACAACGATATGTAAATTGGATCGAATGAAAAACAAGAGCATAACTGACTAAAGAGAGGCTCAAAAGGACTTGTCTATGACATCACCTCTCAGCATTTCTGGCATTCCTCCCTGCGAGGGAGACTTGGCCTGTCACCTCTGGAATGTTGTGTTTATGACCTGCAATTAGCCATTGGAGATCCAAGTATGCCCTTAGTGCTAGCCTTTTCAAAGAACCACAGAAGACAGGGTTTTCTTGGTCAGCGTCATGGCTGCATTGAGGAAGAACTAGTTTCTAAGACTCACTGTGGGAAAGAGAAGGCTGGGCAAGTTCACATAGCTAATATCTGAGACTCATCCAGCATTGTCCAGTTGAAAGCAGTCAGCACTCTAAGGTGACCAGTTTATTATTAAGTATTTTAAAAGACAACATACTTTTGAGTGTAGAAACTTGTCTTCTTCCATTCTGAGTACCCGTGCTTGACTAGAGGGTCATTTTATGGTGGCAAACATGTCAAGTCATAGTGGAACTGTAAGAACACATCACAATGCTGAGCCTCTACATATTCTATAAATTTCATTATGTTTGTGTTTTCCCCGATTCCAGACTGTTTCCATTCTGGACACTACTGATGACTCTATTACCCTTTCCCATTGGCTTCCCATCTAGATTCAAATTCTCATTCCAAATTTTGATATAGTTTTCAAAATTCACTCCTGTCTGATATTCAAATGTAAGGCTTTATGCCATGGTGTTTCTGCAGAGCCGCCCTGTTCAGATAAGATTGGGTCATTTCTGTCCGAACACTGTGGTGATAATTGAAGACCATTGTAATGCACTATAAAAGTTAGATCTGTGAAACCTATAATATTTCTGCATGTTACAGAAGTCAGTCAAAATAAAGACAGTGATGTAGATAGCACACTGCCCTTTGGATCTGAGGGATGAGTTGAGCCTGGGATTGCTGCTTGTCCTTACAGACTCTTGTCCATCCCATCATGTTAAGTTTACGACTTGGCCTCCCAAATAGCCTTCTCTCTGAGAAGGCCTTTAATTTACATTACATGAAGGTGATTTCATATTTCTATGGGTATAAATAGAGCAGTCAGCTATCATGAACCTCTTGGGGGTAAATCACTTGCTCTTAGGAACTGTCTGGAAGTACTCTCGCTGCACAAATGAGATGCTATGGTTGGGGAGGATGTTCATAAATGTTTACTCATCCTATTTTTCTTAGTTTACAGATGATTAAACCCATATTCCGAGTCAGACATGTTCAGTTTAGTTTCTGGAATTGTAAACTAGATATCACAACACATTTTAGGTACATAGGTGAGCACTTTGAAGTTGCTCTCCAGGAAGAGTACATTCATCTCAATCCTTGTAGTTAACCACTCTCAAATAGATCTCATTTCCAATTAAAATAAGGAAAAAATACAGTAATATCTCTATTCCAAACATATAACTTATTATTACCATAAAGTGAAAGAAAGAGAAACATCCAACGATCTGACCCTCTATGTAATTTTTAAGGTGTTTGTTCACCTATCCTTCATCCTAATGGTGATGAAAGTGGATTCAAATGACAGGAGAAAACTGCTGTTCTTTGAAGACCCTTTTGCTAGCACCATTAGATGCTTGTCTTGAACTGGGTGTGGTGCGTCCCTTTAAACCTGAACTCTGGATGCAGAGGCAGGCAGATCTCTATGACTTCCAAGACAGCCCAGGGCTCTGTACTGGGACCCTGTCTCTGAAAAACAAAGAAACAAAGCTGAATCTGCATCTGTGAACATGGTTCGTGCTCTTTGTTCACTTACAAGGGCGTTCATTTTTCTTTGTGTAACGAAAGAGAAGATAGTTGCTGCACAAGGTAATTGCATAAAACATTGAGCAACAGACACTATTTTTAGCACTTTATAAAAAGGAGAAACAGACCACTATAAATTTCATCCCTCTTAGGAATGGCCAGAACAGAATCCTTAGGAAGTTCATATTGTGTGTGTTTTACCAGTGATAACACATGCAGTAAAATCAGTAGACTTGACTTTATCCTATTGAAGAAGTATTTGGTAATATGCTCATGGGAATAAACAGGTCACATTATTTATGCTAAGATGAATGTATAAGAGAGTACAAGGGAATAGACTCTCCACAAGAGAAGGCTCCTGTCAACATTACCTGTTTCAGGTTTTATGTAGGTAACATCCAAACATACACACTTCAGTTATTTATGAAATCGAAATCACATTCAAAATTAAAATGCAGATTACAAGGCACTTAATAATCTCTTCAAGTATCTGTGAGCTGTCTTCCTGAAAAAAATTATTTACTAACAAATTATCACCTCATTTGGCTTTGTTCATTTAATATATGAAATACATTCTACCTAGTGTCTGGAGTATATACAATTATATTCTATGCTACACTTTCCATTTCATCTTATGAAAACACACTGATAAAACACAAGAGAAGCTGTTTGTCTGCTTCACTTTGCACACAGACACACATAGCTTAGCGCACAGACACACACACAGCTTAGCGCACAGACACACATGCAGCTTAGCGCGCGCACACACACACAGCTTAGCGCACAGACACACACACAGCTTAGCGCACAGACACACACACAGCTTAGCGCACAGACACACATACAGCTTAGCACACAGACACACACACAGTTTAGCGCACAGACACACACGCAGCTTAGCGCACAGACACACACGCAGGTTAGCGCACAGACACACACGCAGCTTAGCGTACAGACACACACGCAGCTTAGCGCACAGACACACACGCAGCTTAGCGCACACACAAACACACAGCTTAGCGCACAGACACACACGCAGCTTAGCACAAAGACACAAGCACTCCCATGTTTGTCTGCTTCACTTTGCACACAGACACACACACAGCTTAGCGCACAGACACACACGCAGCTTAGCACACAGACACAAGCACTCCCATGTTTGTCTGCTTCACTTTGCACACAGACACACACACAGCTTAGCACACAGACACACACACAGCTTAGCGCACAGACACAAGCACTCCCATGTTTGTCTGCTTTACTTTGCATACAGACACACACACAGCTTAGCGCACAGACACACACACAGTTTAGCGCACAGACACACACACAGCTTAGCATACAGACACACACACAACTTAGCACACAGACACACACAGCTTAGCGCACAGACACAAGTACTCCCATAGCAGCTTCAGAAGAGAGCTAAGCTCATTTTAGAGCACTTATAGAGCAATCAATGTACAAAATTAAATTATTAAATATATATTATTTTATTTCCTAATAAGATTATTAACAAATAAAAATACAATAACTGTAAAAAGAAAAACAGAAATACATGTAATTACTTTGTATGTGTGCCTGTGTGTGTAC